AGCATCGACGACAATGCTCCCCCCTCCCAGCTGACGAGCTAGAGGAAAAGTAGCAGATTGAGCTTGTTGCTCACCACTCCGTTGAGGACAGAGATCAGGTGACATGCACGTTTGCATGTTACCGTGTGTCTTGCGGCCGGAATTCAAATTTAAACATTGCAAAAAAATCTGAAAAAAATCTTAATATGTGCTGAATATTTAAATTTTGAACATATGTTTCGAATTTTGATCTGAATATTTTAGGGCTTATCTTAATATGTGCTATGGACATGCATGATTTTTTTCCAGAGTTTTTCACAATGTTTAAATTTGAATTCCGGGCGCAAGGCACATGGTGACATGCAAACGTGCATATCACCTGATCTCTGTCCCTTTGTTGAGGAGGCCAAGCGCGTGAATGAGCTTGACTGTTACTGGAGGCTCAGTCTGTCGTTCGACTCCGATGTGGGCCTCAACATGCTCGATGATGAGGACGAGGACTAAACGATGTCAACTAGTAGTAGCTACCAATGTCGAATATCAGCACAACATATGTTTACTACTCACTCCATCTCATAATATAAGAGCGTTTTTGACATTACTGTAGTATAAAAAACGCTCTTATATTATGCGACGGAGATAGTATTTTGCAAATGTAGCTTAACAACATTTAAAATTGCAAATTATATGTTAATGCCATGTATTTTAGTCCTATTATAAGTACTTCAATGTAGTTTGTTGTTAATCAACTTTAGTCTCTGTTTGATTGCCTAAAAATTATCAATTTCAAACAAAAAGCCAAGAAACCAAGAATTTCTTTTATAAGACGCATTATGATAACCTGAATTGGCACGTGGTCTTAGCGACCTTCAAAATACTAAGAATTTGATAACCAGCGAACAGTCGCTGGGTCAGCATGACAAATTAACTATTTTGTGCCAAATTATGTGTTGCTGGGATAGCAATTTCTTTTAGCAAACATGGAAATCCGCCATGTTCAGTTTTTCACGAGGATTTGTCATGGTTGCGAACGAAATTGCCGTCCTCGCGACAACATAAATTTCTTAAAATTTTCTGATTTGCCATCCTCACCCAACAAATGTCAGATTTTTAACATTTTTGAATTATAGAATGCGCTTCACATGCATGATGATGGCTACTGATATGGCAACTCTGCGGCTAAAGTTGCTCTAATGAAAACTCGGGTTGATTAGTGGTTTAGTACTCCCTTCATCCAGAATTACTTGTCACAATGAATAAAAATAAATGTATGTAAAACTAAAAATACGTTTTGTTACGGACGCGGAGTCTCTGCTCCCGGGCTCATCTGCATCCGTGCTCAGAAAAAAAATCAAAACAAATACTAGAAAAATTCAAAAAAAATCCATTTTTTGTGTGGTAGATAACTTGATGGGTGAGGTCCGCTCCAAATTTCAACTCATTTGGACATCTGAACAGCTCTCAGCAAAAAAGACAAAATCATGGTCTGTAAAAAAAGTTTACTGTTCACACACTATTCTGATCCGATTTGTTTGTTTTTTTTTTGGCCGACAGCTGCTCAGATGTCCAAATGAGTTGAAATTTAAAGCGGACCTCACGCATCAAATTATCTACCACACAAAAAAATTGGATTTGTTTGAACTTTTTAGTATTTGTTTTAATTTTTTTTCTGAGTGCGAGCAGATGAGCCTGGGCTGCGAGTTGGATTTTCGTTTTGATATATCTATTTCTGCGACAAGTAATTTAAAGTAATTTAGGACCGAAGGAGCTACAAGTGAAGTAACCTAGTTAATTAGTCGCCGGCTTGCCGGTAAATGACAGCTCCGGCGAAAGGTCCGATGCCGACAAATAAGTACTAGCTCGAGATAGAAAGCATTTCCTTCAAATTAATAGGATTATTAGTAGCAAAACACGTGTTAGAAGGCAGGTACATCCTCTGTTGTGTTGTGTTCATGGGGAGCAGTAAAGCAATAGGATAATGGAGCCGTCCAGATCAAATCCAAATCCATGGCCGGCCGGGCCGCGTTCCCCCTCCGTACTCGCACTTCCACACACACCCTTCTTGACTCCACCGCCACGTCTACTACTACTCCTCCTACTTAGATTCTGATGATGCATTCATTCCCTTTCGTCTCCGTGCTCAATCGCACTGCCACACGCATACCTACGCGTTCACCTGTCTGATGATGCTAGCCCACGGCCAAGAAGACGAGCAGGAGAGCACCATGGCGGTGGCGGTGGTGTGCCTGCAGGCGCAGCGCGTCGCCGGCCTGCCCGCCTCCGTTGGCCAGATCGAGCTAACATGCCGTCTTGTTCAGCATCCTCCTCATGTACATCCTCTTGATGATCTTGAGGATGATGGTGACGATGGAGTGGGTGATTATCATGAAGCAAGGGCGGCTCAGCGTGCCTCTGCCTCTGTCTCCGGCGGCAGCGGCGACTTCCACAGCCAGGTGATCCTGCTCCACTGTGGCACCATCACCGCCTCCTTCAAAGCCGTCCTCACCGTCTCCCTGGCCCTGAGACACCCAGGACAACGGCACCATCAGCAGCAGCAGCAGCAGCTCCAGGTCCACCTTGGCGACGAGCGGCCGGGCGTCCTCACCTACCCGCTCACCGGCGCCGCGGCCGGGGCTCTGCTCACCCTCGCTCTCCACCGCAAGCTGCTCTCGCTACCACCACCTGCTACCGCCATTGGCTGCTGCCTGCCTCTGCCAGCATGCTGCCGCCAGCGACGGCGGGGGAACAACACCACCAACAAGAGTCACAACCAGCAGCATGGCATCCAGTACGACTCTGGCGACGAGTCGTCGGCCGGCTTCATCGTCATCGAGAAGGAGCTCACGCGGCCGCCCTCCGAGAGCCTGCCCACCACCGCCGCCGACAGCAACATTGACCAAGACAACATGAAACTGGATCAAGAAGAACTGGACAGGATCGAGGACGAGTTCCTGGCCATGCTCGAGCTGTCAGCCGCCGCCACCACCACCACCTGTGTCGACCTCGACCTGCACCTATACCTGGACAAACTTGTCAGGGAAGCCGAGGCCGAGCTTGGCAATGCCAGCACCACTCATCTTCCCAACGCTGCTGCTGCATCCCATGTGAATTATTGATGCAAACAGGCAAAACTAAGATGCCAGTTTTCTGAATCTCATGTGCACTTTCTTTTTTCTGAAGCATACGGTTTCTAGCTGAATGTAATGTGCATTTTGGATCTACCTGATTTGCAGTCCCCCTCCCACCTTTGCTAACCAGTCAATCAACTCTACTCTTTACCCCGCAAAAAAAACAAAAAAAACAAGATATTAATAGGCATGAGCCCAAGTAGTAGTAGCGAAAATTAAGGCACACCGCCATGTCTCTGAATCCCAGCTCCATTATAATCAGATCACTAGCCACTATACAGTATAATAATAACAGTATTGTACAACAACTCATCTTGCTGAAAAACCCAAAGCTCAGTATGTAGCCATACGAAAGAATTCACTTCTGTTGATCTAAAGCCAGATCCATCCAAGGCCACAGCAGGTATTTCTCTGTTTACCTATTCAGACTTCAGAGTAGACTCACCATAATAAGGCTCTTCTTCACTTGTATTTCTCCATTATGCGACGGGCTTCTTCGGCGGGGTCGTCCGACGAAGGACTGTCTCCTTCATCCATGCTCCTGGAGCCCTCTTTCGGGTTCATCGCCAGGAAGGCGAAGTATATAAGCCCCATCATCGCCTGCCACCATCAGACCAATAATCAATCTGACTTGAGAAACCACAGAAAGTTGCAGCAAGGGGATACAACAGGGCAAGCGAATTCTGATTATTAAACATTGTTGAGATGTAGTGAACATATAAGTTAGTGATATTGAGCATTGTGCACGACACATTGCTAATTAAGAGTTGTCAGCTGAGTCATGTCAAGAACGTTGTGGGGTACATACCAGTACAAACAATGCGGTGGAAATGACGGACTTGAGCAGAAAAAGGGCGACAGACACGGCAACAAATGTCACGCCTATCCTAGCAATTGGGCGTGGAACTGAATCCTGTTGCACATCAGAACAGAAGGCCAAACTAGTTCAGTTTCAAAAGCAAACCAACCACACTCCAGTGTATTTTTCCGACAGAAGTAAAATTCAGTGGAATGAAGTGACATACATACTAAATGGGTAAGCAAGAGTGACATACTGGGACAAGAGCACTTCCAGCATCCACGGCTTCCTTACTGACCCTCCATGTTTTTTGAACAGCTGTAGTAATATGCAGGAGTGTTAGATAAAATAGATATTCGGAATTTCATCATGAAAGAGAAAAAAACAAGGCCACAGAACATTTGCACTAGTAGGAACAGGGCACAGCACAAAGGCATCCTTAGAAAAATAAGCACCAACACTTTCTTTTTTTGAACAGGGCACCAACACATGAGGTGAGGATGCATGTGAATACATACAGAGGCAGAGACAGGAGGTGCCCCCACCCCCCTAACATCACTAATTTAAGCCTAGCATAAATAGTAAACGGTTATTTTTTTCTGCTAAAATGGTGCTTTTTGATGGATTGGCCCGCCCCGACAAGGTTTAACAAAACTCAGCCCCCCTCATCTGATTTTTCTGGCTCCGCGACTGAATAGATATCATGGTACACACACACACACACCACATATATACAGTCAGAAAATTATAGCAGCCTGATAAATAAAAAAATTACAGCAGGGACAGAGGGAACTAGTTAAGTGGTGATACCACACCCTGAAACGAACAAGACCACTCCATGCGTGTGATGAGAAGAAACTAGGAGCATATGTGCATATTTGGGTGTGCTGTATGCGTTGAGTGTGTAGAAGAAGTGTTTGTTTCAGACTTTGAGTGAGAACATATAAATTTCAATTAATTTCTTACCTGGCAGCCGAGAAAACGCAAAAAGGATTGTGTGTCAATGCGTTGATAGGAAAAGAAGGGCTTGTACACTACAGACCCAAGATGTAAAACATGTTCGGTATAAATAGTGGGATGGGAGTTAACATGAACTTGCATGAGAGCTAAATTTCCAGTTTCTGCTCAAACAACAAACAATAGCCAGCAGGCTTACTCGCGCAACGAACAACAAACATATATAACAAATAATCCCCAAACAAACAAATAAACAATACGGAGACGAGATTCATTCAGCACAATTAATTCAGTGACATGGAATCGATTCAGAATCTTCTTGGGTCGTAGTAACAAACAATCCCAAATACAAATACACAGAAGCACTACACGCAAACAGATTAGATAATTAATCAAATCAAGGAAGGTGAGGAGGGGAGGGGAGGGACCTTTGGAGAGGTTGGACTGCGCGGAGGCGACGACCAGGAGCCGCGAGTTTGAGCGGAGAAGCCGCATGCTAGGGGAAGGGCGGCGTGCGGCGGCTGACCTGCACCAGTTCAGGGGACGGTGAGGGGTTGTAGGCATGGCGGCTGGAAGGAGGCGGGCGGCGGCGGGAGCCATGGCGATGCGGTGGTGACCTCCCGTCCCCAAATTCAGAGGAGAAGGCAGGCCAGGCGAGAGTGTATCCACCAGATGCAACGACGCATACTGGGCCATTGGATGTGAAACGAAGGGATAGATGGAGCTAATGCGTGGCCTCATGGCACATTAACAGAAGGAACCTTTTTTTTAATAACTTAGGGAAGGAACCTCTTAACTGCAGCTGATCTCTACTACTCCTAGGGCTTGTTCAGAGTCCCTCCGCTCCGCGACTCAGCTCCCGGCGTACACGGAGCTACAGTTGATATTAACGAAGCGGAGAAACGGATGCCCCGCAGATCCTCGTATTTTTTAGAGCTGGTGGATTATCGAACAAGCACCTAATTTTTACTCTTAAAGTGAGAGTTGGTAGCTTCTTCTCACCGGGTTATTTTTGTCTTGTTTTTTGCCTCATCCATGATGGGTTCTTTTCGATCTTTTATCCAACTAAACTCCACCTCTCTTTTTTCACTCAGTATACCAAGAATCGCTCCACCAAGTCCCTTGTCTCTCTCGGCCATGTCCTCTAGGGTTCCAAGACGGTTGCCTGCGCCGCCCCCATGCCTCCTCTCCTCACTCTCTTCCTCCCGACCCACCTAGGGTTCCATCTGCATCTACCCTCTGCCACGGTTGATCTCCAAGCAGCGGCGTGACGACCCATGGTGGTCGGTTGATTTTGTACCTGTGGTCATTAGAGGAGTCGCACCAGTAATAAAATGTGCTCTTCGGCGGAGGCATGGAGATGCAGTGGGCAGTTTCCACCTGGACCTTTCAAGCCATGGCCTTCCCCAGTCTCCTCTTAATGCACCCCGCGACACCGCCGCCCCATGGTCCCCGGTTTCCTTGCCCGTGGCAGCCTCCTGATCCTCTTCTCAACGCGTCGCGGCCTCTTCAAGCGAATATGACGGTGATTGCGCTCTTCTTTGGATCCAAATGGCTCGGAGTGTTCTTTTGTACCGCGATGAGCGTCGCAGGGCACCACCGGGAGCCTTAGCTCTTCTGACATCTCTTCCTAGATGCACATCGATGGTTCTGCATCTCAGGTACGCCATTTTTCACTGGGAAAGAAGATTTTTTTCCTCCTAAACTAGGATCTTGTTTGATTAACATGAGTTTAGCTTTAGGGATTTCCTAGAGATGACTATGCAGCTAATTGCAGGAGTGAGTGGTTCTTTTTTTATCAAGTTGTACAATTTTTTGGTTAGGATAGAAGGATAAATGCATTGGCTGGTTGCTTCTAACAGTCAATAACGGACATGATGGTGTATCAGTTGCATGCCCAACAACAGACATCATGTTTTTATTTCGTGGTAATGCAAGACAGTATGTTACAACGTGGCAATGGTTCAGAAGACATCGGGCCTGCCTTCTTGGCTAGGGGGCAGCGCACATATCCTTCCCCTTGATAGCTGTAACGCCCGGGTAATCAAGCTACAGTAATTCCACGCAAATGGTGCCACGTCACCACGGTTACTGTTGCTAATCTACCGTTAGTTCAAAACCGATTCAAATTCAAATTTAAAATAAAGTTAAATAATAAAAGGTTTCAAAAATTAAAACAAAAATGTTCGGAGCGTGCCAAAAATGACATAGATAATTATAGTAAAGAAAACATAAATTTATAAAAAACTTAAATGCCCTAAGTTAAATTAAAACAGTAAAAGAAAATAGATAAAAGAAAATAGATAAAAGAAAAAGAATAAAAATAGAAAAACAAAAGACAAAAAAACAGAACCCCCCTCCCACTGGGCCAGCCGGCCCAGCTGCTGGCCAGCCCACTGGCCCCTCAGGCCCAACCGGCCATCCCCATAACCCCCCACGCCCCCGAAACCCTAACCCCATGCACCACTCCCATGTCGCCCCACTTTCCCCGTCCCGATCCAGATTGGATCAGGATCGATCCCACCGCGCCGTCCGCCGCCCGCGCCAGGACACCGCTGCCCGGAGCTTCCCCGCCGGACCTCCCTCGCCGGCCTGCGCCAGGACACCGCTGCCCGGAGCTTCCCCGCCGGACCTCCCTCGCCGGCCTGCCTCCTCTACGCCCGTCATCCCCGACCTCCACCTCGCGCACCACTGCCCTCGTCCCTACACCACCTGGTGAGGCCCCCAGCCTCGTTCTCTCCCTACACG